GGAAGACTTAGCACCTTAGGTGGCTGTGTTCTGTTCCCAGTCTGGTTTAGACCTCTCTGTAGGACTGTTAAAGATGTTGAGAGAACACATTTGACCTCAGTATTCTTTCTCTACTCACTGGTATGTTCTTGGCAGTGGGATAACTCCCAACTTGAATGTTAGAACTTCATTCAATGCATACATGACTTTATGGACTACATTGTATTTCTTGCAGATGGAGGAAATGTATAAAAAAGCCCATGCTGGTATACGGGAGAATCCAGTCCATGAAAAGAAACTCAAGAGAGAAGTCAAAAAGAAGAGGTAAAATTTTTCCGCCTTTGAGTTAGATATGCCTGTTACAAAGCAAATTTCTGGAGCTGTGGCATTTGTTAATTAATTCCTCCAGTCCCTGTTTAATATTGAAACTAATTGGATGTTTCAGAAATGATCTAGGACAGGGGTTCTCAGACTTCATTGCACCATGACCACCTCTGACAACAAAGTTACTACATGAACCCAGTGGGAGGGTTGGAGCCTGAGCCCTGCCACTCTAGGTCTGGGGAGAGGTGGCCACAGCCCAAGCCCCACTGCCCTGGGTGGAGTTCGGACTTCAGCTTCAGCCCTGGGTCCCAGCAAGTCTAATGCTGGCCCTGGCGACCCTATTGGGGATCATACTTGAGGTCCATCTAGGCTAGTTGCCTGTTTGACAGTGCTGCCACCACACATCTTAGAATTATTTCCCTTAGTAGTAAACTGGATACTACAGTGCAAAACATGGTGCACTTTCATAATGTGACCAAACCTTGTTGTGGTATACCAACTAATCCATTGCCTCGACCACTGAAAGAAAGAGTGCTATAGAAAGTAATCTCTGAAACACTATTTCCTAGGCATAATAATATAAATCTCACACTCATTCCTTATGGTCATGTAACTCCTGGTGTTCTGGTATTTAGATTTACTATTACTGCCTTGTGTATTTATACCATGTTTGCATTGCAGATGGAACCGTCCCAAGTTATCCCTTGCCCAGAAGAAAGATCGTGTTGCTCAGAAGAAGGCTAGCTTCCTCAGGGCCCAGGAGCGTACAGCTGATAGCTAAGATATCTTCCACAATTTTCTATGAAGACTTTGAAAAGTACAATAAATTTATTGAACCAGCAACTGTGTAGCATTGGCTTATTGACATTTGATCTAAAGATGCTTTATCTAAATGAAAGTCCCAACAATCTATCTGAAAAAGAGGCTTACAAAATATTCTACAGCGTTAGAATCATGATGATGGTCTTCAAGGTAACTTAGTATGTTTAAGGATCCAACTTACTGTATTTCACAGACCACTGGATAATGTTAAACTTTCATTTTGTCACCTATTGACTTTCTCACCCTGTGAATTTTTGGCACTGGCTCTATTTCTCAGTTAACTACCTTTGTCTGTAGTTCTACTGGAATTTTAGCTTTATGCATTGGAAAGTAAGATGAGATTTTAAATACACTTTGCTGACAAGTCATAGGCATTGGTGAGTCTAGATAATAGCCAAAAGAAAATTAGTGTTAATTAAATGGGTTTATGTATGCATGTGATTATCCATTCCTCCTAACTAAGAATGTGTACTTAATAGTGGCAATCAGTGTCTCCTGTAAACTGCACACATGTGGCTGCACAAGTCAGAAACTGTGCCTCTGTGGCCCCAGCAAGGCTGTGATCTGGTCCTTTAAGAACCTGCTGTACTCTGTTCAGTGCTGTGCGACACTCCCCCATGGCATGAAAGCCTTCCTCCTCCTCTTGAGGCCACGCCTGGCTGGGAGGAGGTGGTGGGACAGCTCCTTTAGCAACAGCTCTGCTGTAGCCACCCAGTTCGGGGAGGCTCTGGAGTTAGTCTGAAGAGGCCAAAGCATCTCACCCCCCTGCCCAGCAGTTGGTTTCTGGAGATGTGGCAGTTGCTCCTGGCAGAGGGAGTTTGAAACCACTAGCCTGGGGGAGTTGCCATTTGATGCACACAGACCCCTTTCAGAGACCCCAAGCTGGCACGTCCCACCCTCAATTTTGTCCTTAGGCAAGGGTAAACTTGCTCAAGGACAAAAATGTGTTGAGTGGATAGGTAGCCCGCTCAGTACCAAGAAAATGTAAAAGAATATTGGTGGCAATGCTGGTGTATGAGCTTTCTTGCAGAGTTCTTTCAGTTAATTATCAACAAAGTAATGCCATTATTGCTGTGCAATGAGAAGATTCATTGAATTTTTTAAAAAATTATCTACATGAAAACTAGATAATTGAAACAGTGGGGTACCTTGAGTCATGAATTATCCTACCAATGTTGATTTTAATCTCTAATATTCTTTGGAATATCCAATTTCATTTGGAGCAATTGCTACTGAAGGGAGGATGTTGAACACACACAAAAACAGTACTGCCAATCATACTTTCTTACTACAGGGTAATTCCATGTTTTAAAACCTTGCTTAAATTAATCTGTTCCTGCCTTAACTTTTATAATTCCAATAGTAGTATGACAACTATCGAACAGGATTGTCTTCCAATGAAAATTAAGCAGTAATGAGCTCATTAAGGAAGTAACCAATTGTCAGGTGAACTTTCTGCAAAGGAAAAAAAATATCAAGTTTTACAGGCTCTGTTAGGTGTGTGGGGAGAAGTAATGGTACTGGTGTAGTCTGTTTTTAAACAAACTACTAAATTGACTATAAATTATGTAATCTAATTCTCCTGTTTCAAAACTTGCAAGGTTACCCGGAGATTTCTCTGTACACACATGTAAGAACTGCTCTTGTATCTTGCTAAAGGAAAGGTGTGGCTAGTTAAATTACAGTTCTAATATTAAGGCCACCTACTGTGGGAAGGGGGTGTAAAATGTCATGATTTATGTATTAGCACTGCTGTAGTTTTTGTAAACCCACTCAAAATAAGAACCTCCCTCTAACTCTACTATTGAAACAAAGTTTCATTACCACTAGGTGCCACCATTCCCTCCACTAGCAGTTTTATAGTGAATGTGTACATCACACAAGAGAAGCTATAGCATCTCAGCACTCTTCCCTCTAGGGAAAAAATATTAATGGTTTGCCCTGTAACTACTTCTCTTAATGGAAATTTATCCCAAAAGTCTCAATCTGATACACAAGTCCTGTACTCTGCAGAAGCTGGACCTAAATTTGTCAGCAGCTTTAGTGATAATAAATGTGACTATCACTAATATAGCATCTGGTATTTATTAAGTTCATTGACATTGTCCCTATATTTTTGATTTTAGTATCAGATTTTTGGGATTTCTGTGTTAGCTACACCGTCCAGTGATGCTACACTGGTTTACATGCAAGCTGGATTTTGTTACACAATCATGAGAGTTGGAACTTTTTAAACAAAAGCTCTGGAGCATGATTCTACAACTGAGGAACACATTAGGTCCTGCTGGCAGGCAACTAAATTCCACTGGCTACCCCAACTCCAGAGCAGAGGTTAAAAGACATCCAGCAGTGCTTTCTACTCAGGGGCGGCTCTAGCTTTTTTGCCGCCCCAAGCACGGCAGGCAGGCTGAATCCGCGGCACCGGCGGACCTTCGGCAGGCATGTCGCCGAAGGCTGCCTGACTGCCACCCTCGCAGGGACTGGCAGGGAGCCCGCCGTGGCTTGCCGCCCCAGGCACCCACTTGGAGCGCTGGTGCCTGGAGCCACCCCTGTTTCTACTCTCACTAGTTAGTCTTTCACTGGAAATAGTGTAAATTTATAAGTGGGAGAAAGGTGCCCAGGGTTGTCAACTAATCTGCCAGTAGTCTGTTTCAGACAGCATTTTTTCAAAAATGAAAAGTGAATTTGTAATAGTACTTAAAAGCACATGCGTCCCACTGATTGCGTTTGCTTAACTACCTTGAAGAGATTCCATAACCTAATGCTTCAGATGCTTTGGGTAATATTTAGTTGGCACAATAGGAATTTATACTTGATCTTATAAATGATCAATAGATTTACTACAGTTCTTGCATTTTCAAAACATTTTGAGTTAAGGGCTCAAGTCCCTTAAAACACTTAAAATAATTCAATTGAATTAGTCATCCCTTGATTACATTACTATTAAGAATAAAAACACCAATTCATTTGACACTTTTTCTGCCCCTGACAATGGACAAACAAGATATGTATTCAGTCTAAATGTTTCACTAGGGTTGAGTTAAGTGACTTGCTCCTTTTCTATAATTTAAATTAAGAATGAAATTGAAGCTGGATATCTGAAGTTACTTTAAGATAAACCTTCCATTTAAGAAAAGGTCTTTCAAACACCCATGTTAATTTATAAAAAATACTGCTGTAAAAGAGGGAAAGGATTCCTTTGATTTATTGTAAACAAAACTCTAAATGAAAGCTCCTGAAGGTGTTGCAGTAGCAATAAAAATGTACAATAAACTGCATTGTTGACAAGTTTCCAGTTATCCAAAAAACATTTAAAATATTCACACTATTTTGTTCAATAGTTTCAATGCCTAATAGCCATCATAGTATTCACATTCAGATTTATCTGGTAAGAAAATGATATACTTAATGTTTGGTTTCTTTACTAGTTGCAGATGTATTAGCGCCTCCTCTTGGAGGGCAGATCAGTCAACTTTAAGGAGACAGCAGAATGGTAGACACTGTGCAAGAGTCAAACAACTGAATATTTACAAAAAAGCAAAACCACACCGAAAACAAGAGAATTAATACTTCCCACAGTATACACAGAAGGAAGATAGATGATTTTACCTTCTCTAAGTATGTTTGTTATATGCCTTCATGAACAAGAATTTTGTTGAATCCAGGTACTTAATCATTTAAGAAACATGTTGAACACAAAAGGCCTGCAAAGCAGTAAAAAGAATTAACACTTTAAATAGTACTTTTTAAATAAAAGGTTTTTTCCTCATCTCCCTTGAACAAAAGGTAGAAGTGAATTAAGTGCTTACGAAGGGTTAGTAATGGGTGAATACCAAGCATAGTGTTCACAAGTGCTTTACACACACACACACACAGAGTTCTGCAAAGTCTCATTTGTGACTTGAGCCACTCTTGAGCAGTCAAGAACAGTGTAGAATGTGGACAAATGGGAGTTAAGATGAGATCACAAGTTATTTCCCTCATGATCCAAGTCTAGTATTCACTCATTGCTTCAGAGCTGCAGAGAATAAACCTAGCATCCTGCAAAAATTTAAACAAGAACATGCCAAGGAGAATATTTCCAGTAATAAACTAATTATTGATTTAGTGCTGAGGGTAAAGATGGACCCAAATAGAAACAAAAAACTACATAAATGAACACTTCCAAAATTTAGGGAAATCCAGATCAGGATCTAGATTCTGTCCTGTGGCTTAGGCCTAGCTATAATTTAGACATTTGTTAAAGTAAACCAGGAGAAAGTAAATGCAAGACTGATCTTGCCACACAGCCTTAGCTACAAAATCAAACTTTTAGACTACATCAGTGTTAGAAATGTAGTTTGTTAGATACTTCACTTAAGTCAAACTAAGGACTCTAAACATTTACTATGAGAATCTCCATTATAAAGGCTACCACACTGCAGCTACCAAAACTATTAAAGTTCTTTAACTCCTCACCCTTTTAGAATCACCTAATCCACAAAATCCCTGGCTTCAAAACTGGCTACTGCTTAACTTTCCTTATATCTTTCAAGACTCAGGCTTTGTAGTTTCTCTGTTTCCCCATTGTGTAATGGTATATTGTTGCTCTAGTATATGCAACTTTTTAAATATATAATACATATTTTAAATTCTTAGCTCCCAACATGGCATGTTGTACCAGGACCTTTAATTAAGAACTTTCAGCTAATGTTTTAACATTCAAGATATATGTAAGTATGAGGTAAAAAGGTGTATGCAAACAAAATCTAACTAAAAATCTCTCATACTAAAATACCCAGTTTTCTGGAATAAATTTTAATTGTCACACTGAGTTTAGCAATTTAAAAATTTCCCATTGTGCAAATTTTGCCATGTTAAGTTATTAGTAAACTTCATCCTCAAAATGTTCAGTTCATTCAAAAGAGTCTCTTGGACTCAAGCACATTATTTCTAATAGCGGTGGGTCTTTTGGCAAGCATTTGTAACACTACTTGGAAAAAAATAATTCTCAGTGGATATTTACAAATGAATGATGCTAGTCACAGCATTAAAAAAAAATTAAATTAGTCAATATGGTAGCACAGTGAATATTGACAGCAGGAGACCCCAGTTTAGGGTCTTCTGCCAAAGTGCAAGGGGAGGGCAAGCACATGGTTTATTTCCATGATGGAGCATTCTAACCACAAGGCTCTTGTAACTTCTGCCAGACAATTCATTAAGTGGCACATTCTCTCTGAGAAGCACTATAGTAGCAGTGTTTGCTGGAGTAAGAGTTAGGAAAGTTAATGAATTCTGAGCTAAGAAGAAATATTTTAAAAATGCCAAAGATGCATTTGATAAAAAGTGGTAAATCTCCTATAGTGGCAACAATGTTTTCTTCTGTGGTTAAAGATACTAAGAATCATTTGTATGGGATATTTTCTTCCACAATAAAGTTTTTAAGTTGTTTAGTATTAAAGAATGCTCCATTTCCATCTGGTTTGCTGTGACTTTAAGGGCAATACAAGAATACAGTTGTTTCTCTAACTCTTCGCGTATTTCTGACGGAGCACCGCGAAGCAGATAGTCTTTTAGTAACTGGCATACTTTTGCCAAGTTGGGCTGAATTATTTCTGTGGTACATTTCATTTTACTTTGGTCGCATAGAGTTCTACAGTCTGTACCATAAACACAGTCCAAGTCAGACTCACAGTGACGATTTTTAAATAATTCCTTCAAATTAATTTCTGGCACAATTTTTCTCATGTCCACCATTTTCAAGTCATATTTATCATTATAACCCAAGTTTTTGGCACTGGTATCACACATAAGAAAATTCCCATAAGGTCCATGGAAAATGTCTTCCACAAATTCTAAAAGCCCTATAGCTATTTTTGCCTTTCTAGGCCATGATGGAGTAAACCACTGGTCCATGCTTCTTCTGAAACTAGAGGGAATGAAAAGTTCTAAGATCCATGGAAGGCTTATTCCATAGAGAGAGGTATATGCAACTCTTTCCATCACATAGAGATCTCCACAAAACCCCATCAATTTTGGAGTGTGTTCTTTATCCTGGAGGATCACCATAAGCAGAAACTCATTTAGCTGCAGAAGAGCCCATGCTGACTTTGCTTCTGGTAAGGAAACTCGACCATCTTTGTTTCCATCAGCAACTGACAGGATGAGATTAACCAGTTCAGAAAGATTTCCCTGTTCACCCAACTTTCGCTAGAAAAAACAAATATATATATTTAATTCCATATACATTTTTCTTCTGAAAACTATTAAACTGGTTACCTGCCCTGTGTTTTTATATTCAATGAAGTATTTTACCCATTCTACTCAGCTGCATGTGGAACCTACAGCAGTGTCTATGGTCATACTCTGTTTTTGTGGGTTTCAGTAATGATACATACGCAGTGCTTTTTAGGACTATACTGAGTGTTCCTTTCATGTGTATGGTGCACTGAAAGTATGTGTTTTCTTCTTTTTCAAAGTCCTAAAAATTTGCACTTTGTCCTCAGTAAGAGAGTCTTTAATAAATTATGTTAGGTATCGTATAATTAGAGCTGTTGATTAATCGCAGTTAACTCACGCAATTAACAAAAAAAATTCAATGCGATTAAAAAAATTAATCGCGATTAATCGCACTGTTAAATAATAGATGACCAATTGAAATTTATTAAATATTTTTGGATGTTTTTCTACATTTTCAAATATATTGATTTCTATTACAACGCAGAATACAAAGTGTACAGTGCTTACTTTATATTATTATTTTTGATTACAAATATTTGCACTGTAAAAATGATAAAAGAAATCGTATTTTTCAATTCACCTCATACAAGTACTGTAGTGCAATCTCTTTATCGTGAAAGTGTAACTTACAAATATAGATTTTTTTTTGTTACATAACTGCACTCAAAAACAAAACAATGTAAAACTTTAGAGCCTACAGTCCTACTTCTGAGTCCACTCAGTCTTACTTCTTGTTCAGCCAATTGCTAAGACAAACAAGTTTGTTTACATTTATGGGAGATAACTGCTGACTGCTTCTTATTTATAATGTCACCTGAAAGTGAGAACAGGTGTTTGCATGGTATTTACATGCCAGATATGCTAAACATTCATGTGCCCCGTCACGCTTCGGCCACCATTCCAGAGGACATGCTTCCATGCTGATGATGCTCGTTAAAAAAATAATGCACTAATTAAATTTGTGACTGAACTCCTTGGGGGAGAATTGTATGTCTCCTGTTCTGTTTTACCCACATTCTGCCATATATTTCATGTTATAGCAGTCTCGAATGATGATCCAGTACATATTAGTTTTAAGAACACTTTCACAGCAGATCTGACAAAACGAAAAGAAGGTACCAATGTGAGATTTCTAAGGTTAGATACAGCACTTGACCCAAAGGTTTAAAAATCTGAACTGCCTTCCAAAATCTGAGAGGGATGAGGTGTGCAGCATGCTTTCAGATGTCTTAAAAGAGCAATACGCTTGATGCGGAAACTACAGAACCCGAACCACCAAAAAAAAAATCAACCTTCTGCTCGTGGCATCTGACTCAGATGATGAAAATGAACATGCATCGGTCGCTCTGCTTTGGATCATTATCGAGCGGAACCCATCATCAGCATGAACGCATGTCTTCTGGAATGGTAGTTGAAGCATGAAGAGGCATATGAATCTTTAGTGCATCTGGCACGTAAATATCTTGCGATATCCGGCTACAACAGTGCCATGCTAATGCCTGTTCTCACTTTCAGGTGACACTCTAAACAAGATGTGGGCAGCATTATCTCCTGCAAGTTGTAACCAAACTTTGTTGTCTGAGCGATTGGCTGAAGTAGGACTGAGTGGACTTGTAGGTTCTAAAGTTTTACATTGTTTTATTTTTGAATGCAGTTATTTTTTGTACACAATTCTCCATTTGTAAGTTCAACTTTGATTATAAAGAGATTGCACTACAATACTTGTATTAGGTGAATTAAAATATACCATTTCTTTTGTTTTTTACAGTGAAAATATTTGTAATCAAAAATAAATATAAAGTGAGCACTGTACACTTTGTATTCTGTGTTGTAGTTGAAATCAATATATTTGAAAATGTAGGAAACATCCAAAAATATTTAAATAAATGGTATTCTATTATTGTTTAACAGTGCGATTAATCGCAATTAATTTTTTTAATCACTTGACAACCCTACTTGTAATAAAAACATTATGTGGTTCTTTTGCTATAAAAGTTTTGAGAGTTCAAACAACATTTCATAATAACCAGAGCTTGTTTTACTATGATTCATCTGATTAAAGCGTGCATCTTGCAATAGTGACGAGAGATTACAACAAGGAATACAATCATTACTAGCCAGTCATAAATATGTTTTTAATATCGCTTAGTACTACTCCTATACTAATAAATGTACTTTCATACTTAGTTCTGTCACTTACTATAATAACTTTCATTTCATTGGTTTAACAAACTAGCAGGACGGCTGCGCTTTTGAATAGGGAAGTCCTGTCTTTTCTGGAATCAAAACTGTGCTACACCCATCTATGACCAGTATAGTCAGGATATTTTTTCAAGTCCTTGTCTCCACTGAACATTTTCTGATATTGTCCTGCAATTACTCTAGCATCTCTGCAACTCCACCAATGTTAATTATAGGGGAAAGCACTAGTGTAAACCAGTCACCAACATTCTTACCATGATGTTGCATAGACCTGCTTTGAGTAGGGGTAAGTGACACTTGTAGATCAGCTGTCAGGTTTTCTGTTTGGTTTTTAAACTCACACTGCCACAGTTGCTATCACTACTGGAGCTGCATAAGTGATAGAGTAATGGAGGGAGAAGTTCAGAAAACCCTCAGTGTAAACAAATCCTTAGATCAATGCTTCTATATTGGGAAAACTCGGTTGTAGACTACTTAGTAGGATAGAATAGTTTTTAGTATGGTACAAAAAAAATGCAGAGGAAGAGATACCTATTTCTCTGGTCACAATTGTTAGCAAAACTGATGCTAGCAGAGTTCTAGAGAAACTGTATTTAAACACTGATCCAATCCCAGTAGGAATAGGGCCATAGGGACACCACTAGCATTATAAATACAACCATGTCATGGGACCAGGCTACAACACAGTTCCAAACAGTAGTTTAAGAAAGACTTTAAGGGCCAAAAACAGGTTCAAGCCTTAAACATGTGAAAGTTGCATGCTAGTTTCCATTCCAATAACTATCCTGCCACCTCCACCCCTCTATTTTTGTTTTTCTTTTAAATTACTCATGATTGTCTCTAACATGTAACTCTGGGTCTGAAATTTTTCATGCTTATGTGATCTACTCACCAGCAACCACTGTAGCCCAGAACATAATTGAGTTTTTCCACAATCACAGTAGATTCTTAAAGTGAAAAAATATGAAAATTGTTCTCAAAGCTAAAATAGAAGGTCATCCCTAACCTAACTGGAATTGTAGCTTAGTAGGTTTTGACTTTACATTTAATTTGTGTACTCTTCCTGCTGAAAACAAACGAACAGACAAAAAAGAGAGTCAGGCAAAAAAAAATTTTTTTTTTGAATAAAAAATAAATGTGGTGAGAATGAGCATCTATGCTCATTTTCTCTTCTTTGACATATACTTACTTTAAAAAGACCATATACCATTTCTTTGAATTTCTGAACAGTAGTTCCTCTAGTTGGTTTATCAAACAGAACTATTTCTTTTCTTGGTTCCAGTTCAGTTCCAAGATCAAGATGAATAGTTTCTTCCATCTGGCATTTTATGACACCTTGTAGATTACCCCAGATTCCTAAATACATCTATGTAGAAAAAAGGCAATGAGATAGTTACATAAAAATTTCCTCAAAAGCTCTCCTGTCTTCTACTGTCCTGAGTCAGAATGCTGGGTTTGCTCATGGAAACTGCAAGGAGCCAGCATTCAGACTGGTAGTGGCAGCTCCCTGTACAATGTGCCACTTTAAAACATATTTAAGAGAGACCACTGCATCCAAATATGATTTTAAAGAGCAACATACCCATGCTCCATAAAAGTGTGCTTTATACAATGGCAACAGCAACTTCTCCATTAAGGCCGATAAGGGGCATTTATTTTGGTTTCGTGGTGCAGGATGGGAGAGAGGAAGCACATTGTACTGGAACACAGGCACTCTGTCAAAACCTTTAATGGATGTGGAGTGTCAGCAATTTTGGAAGTGACCGTGTAATGAACGTAAGAACATAAGAATGGCCCTACTGGGTCAGACCAAAGGTCCATCTAGCCCAGTATCCTGTCTTCCCACAGTGGCCAGTGCCAGGTGCCCCAGAACAGGTAATCATCAAGTGATCCATCCCCTGTCGTCCATTCCCAGCTTCTGGCAAACAGGCTAGGGACACCATTCCTGCCCATACTGGCTAATAGCCATTGATGGACCTATCTTCCATGAATTTACAGACACTCCCCAACTTACGCAAGTGTTCGGTTCCGGAACGCCTCGCGTAACTCAAATTTTGCGTAAGTCGGAAATGTATACCCAACCATTACAAAGGAAAAAAAAAAAGACCTCCTATTTCTAGCTTACGGAACTTTTTCCATAAGTGCGGATTTGCATAAGTCGGGTTTGCGTAACCCAAAGGGCATCTGTATCTAGTTCTTTTTTGAACCCTGTTATGGTCTTGGCCTTCACAACATCCTCTGATAAGGAGTTCCACAGGCTGACTGTGCGTTGTGTGAAGAAATACTTCCTTTTATTTGTTTTAAACCTGCTGCCTATTAATTTCATTTGGTGACCCTAGTTCTTGTGTTATGAGAAGTAGTAAACAAAACACTTCCTTAAGTTTCCTTCTACTTTCTCTACACCAGTCATGATTTTATAGACTTCAATCATATCTCCCCTTAGCCGTCTCTTTTCCAAGCTGAAAAGTCCCAGTCTTATTAATCTCTCCTCATACGGAAGCTGTTCCATACCCCTAATCATTTTTGTTGCCCTTTTCTGAATCTTTTCCAATTCCAATATATAATTTTTGAGATGGGACGACCACATCTGCACATAGTATTCAAGATATGGGTGTACCATGGATTTATATGGCGGCAACATGATATTTTCTGTCCTATTATCTATCCCTTTCTTAATTATTCCCAGCATTCTGTTCGCTTTTTTGACTGCCGCTGCACATTGAGTAGATGTTTTCAGAGAACTATCCACAATGTCTCCAAGATCTCTTTCTTGAGTGGTAACAGCTAATTTAAACCCCATCATTTTATATATATAGTTGGGATTATGAAATGGGATTTCATAGCTGCTCTAGTGCAGGGTCCACACCAAGTATAGATTTATTGTACATTTAAAGTTTCAGTATTTTAAAAGTGGCATGTGTAAAATTAGAGAAGTAGAGTGTTACACAGTATTACAAAGCATACATACACATCTGTATAATATGATATGCCAAATCATCAAATACACTAAGAAATACCAAATCTATACATTTATTGGACTGTAGTATTTATCTAAATCACTGTAAAAGGTAAATCTCTGTCCTCATTTCCCCCACCACCCAATTTATCACAGATTTGCTGAACCTAGCATATTGGATTTAAAATGCCTAGAGTTAAAAATGATTGAGTGGCAAACATCCTATTTCATGGAAACAGAAATGTGAATTAAATACAAAATTCAGACAAGTATAATCCTTGTAAAATGGAATCAAACATTATTCTGAATTGTTGTCTCCTGTTACTAAGATAGAGTTCTATATTGGTTGACAGCTCAGATTTCTCACTTTTAGAATGGGATTATAAATGCTGTGCCAACAGGATCCCTAGTTTAAAATTCTCATCCCTTGAATATCTCAGTGAGCAAAACTTTAAATAAGTAAAAATTTAACTGAAGTCAAGTCATTTTACAATAAGGTCTGTTTAATATTCTGCAAAAACCAAACAAACCCCAAACCCGGTTTAGATAAAGAATCATATGATTAGCTCATATAAAGTCATACCTGGTTATTGGGTTTTGTTGACAAACATTTTCCAAAATACAGTGTTTCTTTAGCGCAAAGACTACTACATGCTGATCCATCAATAACTCCAGTCTTATATTTATCACACTGAAAGACAAAGAGGAAAATAGTTTCTAGAAAGAACTGAAGAATAGAAAGAGGAAACAATACACCTGTTGGCTTTTCCAATATCTATGCTTTTATCCTGTAAAATGCGGGGGGGGAAAGCTGTACAAACTCTGAAACGTGTCTGTGGTACAAAAAAAAATTCAGATATGTCCCAATTCTGCAAGTTGCTCTGCAGAGGTGAACCCCCTGCATCTGCATGGGGACCCTATATAGAATAGAATACAGCAGAATATTGAAGCTAATGGGGCTCTGCGCAGGCCCAGGGGTCTACCTGCATGGAGCAGTTTGCAAGATCAGGGCCTTATTGGGTCAATGATTCAAACTGGGAGACAGACTGGGAGCTTTTACACTCGATCAGAAGAGACTTACCAAAAACAAGAAACAAACAAAACAAAACTACATGCTAGATGGTGCCAGAAGATGCCTTGGGGGGGGGAGGGGAGGGGAGAGGAAGGTGGTGAATGTAAGAAGCACAATGATTGTTAATGCCTCAAACTTGTTAAGGCATCTGCTAACACGTATCTCTGCTTTTACATGGGGGTCTGCTAATATGTATTTCTACTTCCACGTGGAATCCTCAAATTTCACCATTCTGAAATAATAGAAAAAGGAACAGCCTGCCATTGAGTTCATAGTATTATTTCTTTTAATCTGTATATTCTTTCAGTAAAAAAGGATGTCTATGTTTTGGTATAGGTACTCTGACACATTTTAAAAATACAAGTATAAGATTAGATTATTCTAGCAACTACCCTTTGACTAATAATTAAGGTATAATAGACCAGTAAACAAAAACATATTTAAGATCTTTACAATCTTTCACCAAAGTCCTCCCAATCCCTTGCAGCCAGGGAAAACAAATGGACAGCATGCCCTAAAAAGCCAATAAACTAAAATTATTTTGGACTGTGAAGGAGAAAGTTTCAAATCTACAGGGCCCCTGTGGAGAACACACTGCCAGCTGCTTCTCTCTTATAAGAGTGAGATTCTACCTTAGTGTCTTGTGGGTACTCTAGCAGCATGCATCATTTTTAACTCATCAGAAGGAGTTAAACAAAGGCAGCGGAATCACTAACTTAAAATTAGTATATCAATTATAATTGATTCTCCCACAACAAAAGCGTCACAAAGTGAATTTGATCACATGGCAGTTTACAACTCAGCCATTTAATCAATGAGAAAATAAAGTACAAAAATAATTGGTTTTAGCTGTAGGTAACTGAAATTAGGATTATTGTATTTGCATAACGTAATAGTAAATATTACTTTTTGATGGAAACTAATGAATACTTCAAAAGTAGATTCAAAGATGATAAAAAAGCTTAACAAACAGGACATATAAATATACTTACTATTATTTTCTTACAGTCATGACCTCTGCATAGCTCTGTGTAAGTGGAGTACTGAACATATATAATCCAGCTGCCAATAAATACTACTAGCCAAGAGATGAAGAGATACTTCATTCGCATATATGAGAAGCGAACCTGAAGATATAAAAGAAAAACATGAAGGTAATTAATTCAGGAATAGGCTGAACTGCTTCCATTGTCCTAACATGATTTGCCATTCAGTCTTTACAAAAACTCTATATAAAATCCAGTCATCTTTTTTATTAATGTGTAGTATCCTTTTAGAACACTAAGTTCCAGGATCAAACAGAACTGGTGCTGGATGCCAGCTATAGGGGGAAAAGAAGGACTCTGATAATAGAAATTGGAAAAATGAGACCAAAGGGAGGGTTGGTAAAAGTTTACCAAATTGTAAAAAAATTGAAACTGCCAAATTTCTACTACTTCCACCTATGCCAGTCCACCTGGAAGAAGCATTTATTGTCAGTTACTTAGAAGCGCTACTTCTGGAAAATCAGTTCCAACAGAGCAGAAACTAATGAAAGATATAACCTAATCCAGATGAAAAATAAATTTGAAATCATCAGTATATGGAGGGTGGTGGTGTAGAAGGAAATAATTCCCATGTGTTTGAACACTTTCCATTATGTGGCTAATTAGTGGAATTCAAAGGAGGGTGATGGAAAGTTCCATGTACTATTCTGATCTCCAACTGTCTTCTACATTGCCATATTTTCATTTTCTGGCTGCTTCCACCCCATCAACTACATGTTATCCCTTTGGACAAGGGAAGGTTGTTTGGGTTTTTAATGTTTGAGGGTGGGTTGCTGCTGTCCGGCTTAAAAAAACAAACAAGCAGGGATAGATGCTGATCTGGCCATTTGGCCATTTAGCTTTTTCTTCCTGACAATCTGGAGTGCTCATGATCTGATTTTGCACTCAGGAACAGCAGAAAGTGTTGGAGAGAACAGAACAGCAGAGACCAGTCTTGGCAACATAAAGAGTGAGCATTCAGATTACGTAAATGTAAAATGCCTGTTCATTCTTCTTCAGCCACATGAAATCTGTGCTTTGTATAGAGAAACAGTGAGACTTGGCAGGCATGCAAGGAAAGGAAAGATGGGAAAGCAAGAGCATGGATATGAGAGGTAGTAAAGTACATAAAAGATTGTTTCTGAAGGTTCTTGTTCTTAAATCACAACCAGAGGCCTTTAAAGGTCCACCCACACCAAATATGAATACCAGTTTCAGCTGGAGATAGCAATTCCAGGAGAGAGAGCTCTGTAATATTGGATTGCTGTAAATGATAGTGTCTTTAAATTAAACCAGTCAAAGAGAATATACAAAATTGTTTAAGCATCTTAGCATAACATACTTCAATCGAAAATGCGATCTTACAAAGGAGAATAAAGACAGAATTTGCTGGAAATCTAAACAAAGTACACTGGTTCTCCACTTGTGAGGTACTCCCTTCTCTTCATGTGTCATTATATAATCCCTGCATCTGTAACTTTCACTCCATGCATCTGAAGAAGTGGGTTTTTTACCCATGAAAGCTTATGCCCAAATAAATCTGTTAGTCTGGAAGGTGCCACTGGACTCCTTGTGTTTTTTTTTTTTAAAAAAGTAGATTATCTTTTTTTTTTTTAAAAAATATTAAAAAAAAAAACCCTCTGCTTTTAGTACTGTACTGATTTTACTTTAAATATCATTAGCTTTCATAATTATATTCCAACACACTTTTCCCTGAAGGAAAATAAAAATCGCCATGACATATTACTTTTGTTTTCCAGATATCTTCTAATTAGTGGTCTATTTAGTTTTATTTCTACTTGCTAGACACTTGGAAACAAGTATAAAAAGGAAGATTCTTTTGCCAAGAACCTCCTATTCTAAATAGAGCATATATAGACAATGGATGTGATGCAACACAAAGCAATGTGAATGAGTGGTGGAATAGCATGTGTCTTATTTGTTCCACAGTTTTGGTTTAGGATGGGTTTTTTTGTTTTTGTTTGTGTGTTTTTCTTGTGTCTATTTGTTAGCATTTGTCAGTTCACACCTCTTGAAATTATTGTTTCAGGCTGTCTGAACATGCAGGCAGTCATCAGTTACACTCAAGTCACATTTATAAGCTTTTCTTCAACTGTAAGATCTAGAAACAGGGTGGATAAAAATCAATGATTTTTTTAATAAAAATATTTTTTTATTTAAACTGAATTTTTAATTTAAATTAAATACATTTCTTTTAATATAAACCCATTTAAAATTAAATTAGCAATTATAACAACCTAAGTTAAGGCCGAAATTTATTATAATCTATTAAAATAATTTAAATTAAATTAAAGTAGTACATGCTTGCTACTGAGGTATTAGAGAAAGCCAAACTACTGAATTGGTAGAAGTCACTGGCTACGCACATGGAACAAGAGTTTGCTGCAGTGCTAAACCAGCTTTTAACAGAAGTAGCCTCTTCCTCAAAGGCAGACAAAATAGTGTCTTCATTTCAATTTATTCAGCGCTCTTCAGTTCAGTGACTAGTTCATTCAAAATAAAGAAACCAGTGCGAGTAGAAAAAGCAGGAAAGCTTGATTTCCTTTTCTAATCTATGAAAAATTAAAGCTGAACTTATCACGACTCTAGAAATGGGGACCCTGGGCAAAGGCCTGTAGTGCCTTACTCTGGCTCTGTTGTGACGGGAACTTGAAGAGGAACTAAGCATGGTCAGAATCGTGACCAAAGTAGGAGATATTCTGTGGCAGCATTTAGGGCAGAAACAAAAACTATTTTACTCTGTTCCTACATTCATTTATGCCTCTGCAAAGGCAAGTGTTACTTGGTACTTTTCTGTGGCGGCTGCTATTTTCCCCTCCAAATCTAAGATTTTAATTTTTAACACACACCTAAGTCTAACCCTTACAGTTGTGAAGAAAACCTTCAGAACATGAACCTAGTGTAAACCAATGAAGTGAAGTCTACCCGAGTCCACAAACTCAGTAGATACTGCTCCTTTTCATCTCAGTTGGGTGTTAGCTCTGAAGACTACTAAGAACAATTTAAATATCAATTTAGTTAAGTTTTGCCACTGAACAAAGTCTGTAAGTAGGGTGACCAGACGTCCTGTTTTTAAAGGGGGCAGTCCTATATTTAAGGCCTCCTACAGGTGTCCTGACTTTTTCTTAAAAATGGGCAAATTGTCTTGTATTTTCTGTTTCCCTCCTCCCCTCCACATCAGTACTCGTGGGTCCTGCTGCTGGCTGGATCCCTGCTTGCCAGCTATCCGCCCACCAGCGGTGAGTGGGAGGGTCCAGTGGCCGACAATGGGGGTGCAAGGCTGGTGGCAGGGCAAAGTTGCAGTGTGCGGGGCCGGCCGCTCCCCCTGCTGGTCCGTCAGTGCAGCCCCTGCTGAGTGCCGGCTCTCAGCCAGCAGGGCCTCACTCCCTGTCCCGTTTCCGACCAGCAATGACTGCATGCTGTGGCAGCCAGTGAGTGAGGGCAGGTCCTAGGCAGCGGCTGGTTACATGTCACCTCTATTGTCCACCATTTATGTGCTCCCCCTCTCACTGTCTGCTCCCTGCTTTGCCCCTTCATACACACACACACATTCCTGCTGCTCCTCCATATCTCCCCCGGCAGGGCACATCCTGCTTCCAGTGCTGTGTGGAGAACCAACCCCTGGTTGGAGTGCTCAGCTCACTGGCAGGCTCCTTCCTTCCACCACTTACTCTGGCTGGGCCAGTGCCCCAGGCAAGCCCAAGACACTGTGGCCCGGGGTGCTGGCCAGGAGGAGTCAAAGCCCCACATAGTGCCAGCACAGGGTAGCCTCTCCGCCCCTCAGCCAAGCTCTGGAGTGGTGGGGTGTGTGTGTCATTTCCAGCCTGTTCATGCCCTGAATCTGCAGGCTCCACAGCAGCCCTCCAGGCAGGGGCTTAGCACCCTCTTCACCTGCCCCCTCCCACCCTGGGTGCTGCCCCCAGGGACAGCAGGACTTCTCTGTCCCCTAGGCACCCTCTGCTGCTGAGCGACCTACCTGGCCGGGTTCGCTGAAGCTCCTGCAGTCAGGTTCCCTGGGCCCTGGTGCACAATGCAGCCTTAGGGCTTAACCCCTTCCTGCTCTCGCTGTAGCTGCAGGGGGGTGCAGGGACAGAAAGACAGGAGGTGGCTGGGTTATGTCGGTGGCCAGCAGCAGCCAACAGGAGGTATTAGCTGCCTTTCAACACTGTGCGGGCAGGAAGGGACGGGAGCTGCTTCCAGCCACAGGGCGGTGGGGGAAGACATGAGCTCTGCAAAGACACGGGCCAGGTCATCCCTTCCCTTCCCCCTCCCACTCCTGCGGCTGGAAGCAGCTCCCATCCCTTCCCTCCCGCACAGTGCTGAAAGCTGGCCACATTCTGGTGTGAACTCTGGCAGAAATCTGGGGTGGTGGTAGTGCATGTGACCTTGCATGCCCTCCTGCAAATGTTACCTCGGGAAAACGCGGCACCAAGTACCAGGAAAGGCGCGTCCGTCCAGGGGCCCAGGGTCGGTCGGTCGGTCGGTCGGTCGGACACACACACACACACACACACACACACACACACGTGAGAGAGGTGTATGGGTCACCTCTCCCCCTGCGATCCCATAAGTCTTAATGATAAGAAGATAAATAAAAAGAATCAAACTAGAGAAGGGCGACAAAGGTGTGACAAGATTACGGCGATCAACAGATGGCTCAGGCAGTGGTGCTATAAGGAGGGCTTTGGGATGTATGGCCACTGGGAAGCAGTCATGGACAGAGGACTGTTCTCTCGGGATGGACTTCACCTGAGTAAGGAGGGAAATAGACTTCTAGGCTGGAGGCTGGCACAACTGATTAAGAGAGCTTTAAACTAGGAATTTGGGGGAGATGGTTGGGAGATGTCCAGGTAATCTCCACGCTGGAATTTACCATTGAGAGGGAAGAAAACGAACTAAGAAAGGATACAGCCGTGGGTATATGAATGGACATAAAGAGGAAGGGTAGTGTAGATACCAGTCTAATAGGTGATACTGGTGGTAGAATGTCTGTGCCTAATCAGGTAAAGAATGTCAGTGAAGCCGAATGGCAAAAATTAAGATGTTTGTACACTAATGCAAGGAGCCTAGGTAACAAAATG